TCCTTTTATATCTCAAGGGGATACCACATGCACCATCTCTCCTTCTCTTTCTTACTTGACTTCTTTTTATTAATGGACGGAGATTTGTATGGCTGCCATCCGAATGACCTTCTGATGGGACGGCCCATACCTACCTCCACTTCCGCCGGAAGCAGGCGCGAGGTGGGAACATGGCTGTCTACTGACGACATGACCATTGTCAGACCGGTCACAAATCGGTCATTCTTGTCCACCACGTGTCAGTTTAACAATCTGCATGTTCGCCCTTCTTCATACAATATCTTGCCTGTAATGGTTAGGATGAAGCCTGGCATATATCTGACCGGAACCAACGTGCCATCTCCAGGAGCTAACACGCCGGTTCCGGCTAGGGACGAGTGCTTGGAGGCTCTCGTCCTGACGGGATGGGGCGAGGCGTGCGTCAGACCGCCTGTCGCCACCTAACCCACGATCTGACCGGTCTGTGGCCGGTCACAGACCGGATAAACGAGCGCGCTGCACTGCTTTACATGCGGCGTGACGTGCTCGTCCAAACCGCAATAAATGCGGTTAGGTGAGCGCCGCACGCGGCGCAAAATCCACAAGGGGTCGGGGCGCCCCAGCCCTCGGGGCCGAACGGGAGCGGTCCGACCCCTCGGGGAGACAAAGAGGGGGGCGGCCACATCACCCTCGGGCCCGACCCCCCGAGGGGGTCAGGCCTCGTGGGTGATTGCTCCTGCCCAAGCCTCTAGTCATGATACTCTCGGTCCCATGTCACCGACACACCGGAACTACGAGCTCTTCCAACTTCCAAGGCGTTGTTGGACTTGAAGTCAACATCAGCGTTGGTTGCCTAGGTCGATTGTCATGTGGGCGATATTGACTTGTGGACCGATGAGTCAGCGAGGCAGTCAATAGACAGGTGGCACTGGCAGGAAGTGAGTCGACGTCAACACCGTCCGATCAAATCGTAGCGGTTGAGATTAGGCACTAACTGCCTCCAGGTAAGTTTTCGGAAAAAGACCTCCTCCACTTTACACCCTTAGATGTAGATATATTATACACGGCTGAGATGTGCTGCGAGTGTTGTTTCCGCGTGGGCCCCCGACTTATTATTACAATTTACAAGTTCTAGTAGTATTGTTACAAGATGATATGATGATGTCACGATGGAGGAATGGCCGGCCGGCGGAGGACTTCAGCTCCGTCGAGGGGAGACGGTGGCGCAGGCGTTGACGATGACGCCGAAGTTTCGAGAGGCTCAGACGGTTCCAATCTTCGATGACTGTGTTTATGAACTCGAAATGGTCAAATTAATTAATCCAGAGAAGTGACGAAGAGTAGAGGAATGTAAATCTGTAATACAGGCTCAGTTTCAGAAAACATCCAGTCTTTAACATGTGCATCGTTGCAGCGCCTTCCCAACCGATAGGGAGACGCTCGCCGTACTCGTGGGCTCGGGTCACCGGAGATTGGCGCCGACGATGATCGGGGTACGTGAGCTAGCGGAGCTCCGGCGAACGGCGGCACCGCAGCTGACGATCGAGAGGTTGACATGCCATTCTTGCGGTCAGGCTGACTGGTGGGTCCCGAGACTCTTGCCACATCACCTTCTCGATCGTGGCTGTACCGTCCGATCGAATATTAGCGGTCAAGATAAAAGGAAGGATAACAGTTGGAGGTAAGTTTTCTTAATAAACCTCATTTTAAATTTTATTTATATTTAGGATCACTCCCATCATTAGCGATCCTAACCTAGGCCGCTCTGAACCGTTCGATCTATTTTGTACGGCTTAGATATAATGCGATTAAAGGTTCTATTCTAGTATTCTACAGGGACCCTCGGATTATCTCGTATTTTAGCACTACATAAACAAGAAAGAGGGACGCCGAGTCGCCGACGGTGGCGGAGCTCCGGCGAGCGGTGGCGCAATCGAGTTTGCCAGGGTTGAAGCGATCTGTTTGCGATCGGTGATGGTGGCTCCAGCGAGTTGGACAGGGTCGTATCGATCTGATTCTGCGAGGAAAACATCGTGATTCCTTTTCCGGCGGTGTCGCCTCACCGGAGTTCGGTCCGGCGGCCGCCGTGGCGGAGCTGGAAGTCAGTGTGCAGCTGAACGTATCGGAGAGCCGTTTCGCGAGGATCATACATTGACAGAGGCGAAGGCTGAACTCTCCTCTCCATGATCATCGTGGAGGTAACCAGGTCAAGAACCCAAAGCAGTTCAGATGAACTGAAATGTCGATCCATTTTCAGAAACCTTAATAAGTGCAGGAGTAAGAACCAGAAGAGGGATGTAAGGAAGCATACATGAACATAAAACAAGTACTAATTTTCTGGATCCTGAAACTTGAAGCAGAAATTACAGGTTACAGATAAGCTGTTACCTCTGCTAGATTGTTAATGTGATAGTCTGTGTAGGCAAATGCGTGTAGCTTGTCTGAATGGAAAAATTATGTCGTCGTATGGACATGTTGGGAGATTGTACCTTTGCAAGATCTCATTCCTCATTGTTGTTGTTTGCTTGCAAAATGCAAACTCCAATCCACTCGTCTAACTGAATAAACTGTATTGCACAATTGCACTGTACATACTGTACGTCTGTACCTGCTTATTCTTCATATTCCTGAACTGATGGCATAATGTTGTCCTTGTGGTTGCCTGAAACGCTGAACCTGTCAGAAATTTCAGTTGTGCTACGGCTCTGCATGCTGGATCTGATGAGGTGAGTGACTGATCTGTGCTCGTCACGGTCGCTGCGCAACAGCCGTTGCCTTGGCAGGATGACTGACCATCATCAATTCATCATCATCTGCTCTCGTCATGAACATGCTCTTCCCTGAACCTGAACACACCATGCAAAAAAACTTACTACAGATTATGAACAAGTCCTGAACCTATATCCATCGATCCTGCACTCAGATTATCTTCATCCGTGCATGACATAACATGCTGGGATGGATCTCTGTCAAGTTCTGCAGTGTTCTTTCATCAGCTTTCAGCTCTAACACTGAAGAAGTCTGAATTTTGGCAGCAAGAGCTGGTTGCTAGTACTTGCTACAACAAGCCTGTGACCTCTACATCACAGGAGGCCGTAGCGTCCAAACCCCAGCTCATCGCACGGCGCCATTGCAGAGCAGACGAAGCAACGGGAACCCCACGTACTCGTAGGCGTAGTAGCCTAGTAGGCGTGTAGCCATCACAGGCTGGACAGAGCGAGGAGATTGCTGAGTACTGACCGTTTGTTGCTGCAACGTTTTCCTCATCACTTATATGGTGTAGTCCCAGTTGCATGTGCACAATTATTCAGCCCTAATTATACATTAAGTTTGTACTTATCTCATGTGAAAAAGACTCTGCCAGATGCTGCTCCTGCTGCTGCAGATCCAAAGCCAAATTCTCATTCTGGCATTATCTTTCTCTCCATTGGAGACTCTTGCAGTGCAGTTTTGTTTTCTTCCGTGTATTGTTTGTGTCCTGGACATTCCATTTTGCACTGTAGATAATCATTTTTGTTTGCTCAAAATTCACGTGTTCTTGGCAAGATGTTTCAGACAATTAAGTGAGAATCCTGTCGGCACGATGGGATGTGTCTCACCTAATTTCTCTCTTGATGCCTGGCAATTAAGCACGAACAGTTAGAGCCAACCATGGCACTAGATTAGGTTATTCCATTGGATAATTGCGACGTCTCCACCTGTAATTTGGCTGCCTGCATAGGTGCATAGATAATCCAGAGAGGTCAACCAGAGTGGTTGCAATAGCAAAGCGACAATAGATTAAATTTGATTGATGCTGGGTAGTAGTACGAACTAAGATTGATGTCACCTAATACATACAGTACAGGGCTACCTACTGTAGAGATAAGAGCTCAATTATCTATCATACGGCTACTGTCATCCTCACCAAACTCCTAACTGAACAAGTATCAAAATCTTTTTAAGTCAACCATGAAAGTAGAATTGGAAGTGTAAACAGTACAGCTCACCTGCTATGATTTATTTGCTTTTTCTGTTGTAAGTGTTAGGACTATTTCAGTATAGCCAGGAAGATCTGACAATAAGATTAGTACAGTACTGTACCTTTGATAGAGTCTCATAGAAGTTAGGGTGTGTTTAGTTCACACCAAAATTTAAAATTTGTTTGAAATTAGAACAATGTGACGGAGAAGTTGAAAGTTTATGTATGTATGAAAGTTTTGATGTGATAGAAAAGTTGGAAGTTCGAAAAAAAATTGCAAATAAACACAGCCTTACTCTTGATCATACACAATCTAAAAACTAACAGGATGTTCAGACTCTTTCTTTTTTTTTCTTTTTTTGCCAACTTAAGTGAAGCATTACGAGGTTTAACGCACATTTATGCATGGTTAACAGTAAAGAAACGAACTTAGAATCATATGCCGTTGCTTACACGCGCACCAATTGACACCTACAGTAAACATCAAGTGACCATTTCGGGCATGTTACTCTTTCCCACTACTAGTTTAACTATCACTGATTTATTTTTGAAGCAAGGGTGTATCATAATTTGAGGGCAGTAATAGCCGTCGAATGCACTGTTAAAAAATAGAGAAATTTTACAGTCATTAAGTACTTCAAAATACCTAAAATTTGCACTAATGGTATTTTAGTTTGTTACCGTGTTAAAATATTGGCAAGGTCTAAACCTAGGCAACTTTTGGTAGCACTAGCAGTGCCAATTTCTTTGACAACTTATGTGTGTTGTTGACATATTTCGGTAGTAAACCAAACACTAGCAAAGTTACTATTTAAAATACCAATAATTTGGTAGGGCATATTTTAGCATCAAACTAAAATGGCCCTAAAAATTTTCGTGCCTCATGATGCTCCATGTACCAAATTTTACACTGTTACCTTCTGGTGATGCTAAAATTAACCCAAAAAATTAGATTAGCAGGAGTCCGGCGAATTCGCGTGGCAACACGGTAATTAAATTTACTCTCGATGGGCGCACGTTGCGGTAATTGTAAACGAGGGGTTTAAAAAGCGCGGGAGACCCGCTCCACCTTCCCTCCTCTCCTCTCCTCTCTTCTCTTCTCGACCTCCACTCCTCTCCACCCATCGCGGCCATAAGACGCCACCTCCCCTTCCCACCACGCCATCACCACCACCACCACCACCTCACCGCCGCCTCGCACGCAGACGGCGAGGCTTCCGGCGCGGCGGCGGAAGAGTAGCGCGAGCGAGCTGAGAGATGGAGCGGCGGCCGGAGCTGCGGCGGACGATGACGCTCTCGGAGCAGCTGTCCGCGCCCGACCAGGCCATCCGCGACTTCCTCAAGATCCCACACGACGGCCTCGGCGGCGGCGACGGCGAGGGAGGGAGGATCCCCGCCGCCGCGGGCGCCTCCGGTGGCGGCGGTGGCGTCGGTGGCATGATCAACTGGAAGCCGCTGCGTGACCGGCTCCGGCTACGCCGCGCCGCGAGCGCGTGGATGTCCGCGTCGCCCAAGCCCGCCGCGTCGAACAGCGGCGGCGGAGGCGGCGGCGGCGCGACGCTGAGCAGCAGCAACAGCGGCAGCAACCACAGCAACAAGTACAACTACTCCCCCGGCGAGGCCGCGGCGGCGTTCTCGCGCACCTTCTCCCGCACGCGGTCGCTCCGCCCGACGCCGACCTTCTCGCGCGCCACCTCCACCCGCCTCGGAGCCACAGCCTTCTCCAGCGGCTCCAGGCGCGCCGCGGTCGACGGCGGCGGCCACGCCAATGAGGACGACGACGAGGACCACACCGACGACGACGACGACGACGACGAAGAGGAGCAAGGCAAGGACGACGCGCCCGCGGCGCAGATGTCGCTGATGGCGCTACTGGAGCAATCGGACAGCCAGTGGGACTCGGAGGACGAGGACGACCAAGGCCACGGCGGTGGCGGCGGCGGCGGGGGCAACGGCGGCGGCGGCGGCGGCGGCGGCGCGCGCAAGAACGGCGACGGCGACGACGACGAGGACGACGGCGAGGGGCGGGAGGAGGAGATGGTGCACGTGTGCTGCGTGTGCATGGTGCGCCACAAGGGCGCCGCCTTCATCCCGTGCGGCCACACCTTCTGCCGCCTCTGCTCCCGCGAGCTCTGGGTCAGCCGCGGCAACTGCCCTCTCTGCAACGGTTTCATCCAAGAAATCCTCGACATCTTCTAATCATCTTCTTCAGAATTCAGATGCAAACCAAGAAATCCTCGACATCTTCTAATCTTCTTCAGAATTCAGATGCAGATAGAACGATCATGCAGCATGGCGGTAGTAGCTATAAGATTTGTTGGTTGGATTGGTTGATGGCGTACGAGTGGCCAATTCATGCGCCGCTCCGCTGAAAATTAACCTGAAAAAAAAATTGAAACTTATAGGGGATTCGATCGATCGATTGATTTGTGTGCAAGTGCAACATGAAACGCTGAAAACACTTGTAATTTATTGGCGTTGCTGAAAGATAAATAATTAATAGGCGGCACTGTCTCATTGATGAATTACAGCATCTGTGTTGCTAAACAGAAAAAACAGAAATCAGAAAACCTGAAAAAATTATGCAAAATCCCCAGGTTTCCTCAAAAAACGAATTGACGCCATCTTCTTTCCAGACGAGGTCGATGTGAGACTATTTTCCTGGGCCGTGAAGGCCGGCCCGGATGGTAAGAATTGTTTCAATTTTTAATGCCTACGGGATCGTTAAGCAATTGGGGATTGATTGTGGTGTCGATACTAACAAGCACCAACCCACAATTGTGCCAAGCTTTGATTTTCTCGGGAAGCAAACCAGATGATTTTAATATTTCTACTTCTTTTAAGATGATTTAGCTTCGTAGTTATATAGGTGGTGGCATTGGATTGTCTCTCCTCGAGCGTGGCCCACCTTGGTCCCAGCTATGTTTTGGTTTGCTTCATCCTGTCTAAATTTTACCGTCAGATTTACCTAAAATAAACACTTAGGAGATTTACTCTTATTATTTAGTTGTTTAGTTCTCGTAAAGGAAATCGTTTTGGACAGCGATACGGTCTCCAAAACACAACTTTGACTTCTTGTTTCTATAAAGAAATTTATTGAAAAGTGATATATATGTATATTTTTATAAAAGTATTTTTCAAGACAAATCTATTCATATAATTTTTATATTTTTTAAACTCAATAACTTGAGAGTTATTTATGATTTATAATTTTAAGATTTGACTTAAACATTGTCCTAAACGACTTCCATTACGAGTTTAAATATTGTCTTAAACGACTTCCATTATGAGTACAGAGTGAGCAGTTATGAACCAGTACTGCCACTGTTTGCACCTAAATCTTCTCGTCGGACACACGGTGACTTATTTTGCATTTTATTTCTTTGCAGAATTTGTACATGGCCGCTTCAGTTGTGCTGTACATATTTACCATACTCACTATTCTGAAGGAAGCCGAATTATTGGTGGCACTGTTGCTAATTGCATTAGTGCAGCCCTGCATTATAGAGGTGTGGCTAATTGTGCCATTTCTGAAGACTCACGCCATTGAGAAGTATGCGATGGGATTCCCTGATTGTCATATCAACAGCAAAATACCATCAGGAAACGGGAAGATGTCAACCCTAGTCTGAATAAAACCTTAATTATTGATAATAGTGTAGTAGGTGCCCAAAAATTATCTTAATTTTTTTATCCTAAGTATCTTAATTTTTTATCCTAGGTGTGCCCTCCTTAGAAATAGGGCGCCAGGTGAAATGGTGAGCTCTTTTAATTTCCAGTGACCAACAGCAGCTAAAATCTTCTACCAACTGGATTTAGAGCTATGTTACTCTGTTTTATTATCATCCAATGTTATTAATGCTTCCGTTCAGAGTTTGATAGAAGTTACGTGGGTGTATTTGCTGAAGCTTGCAAAAGTTTATTAGCTTTTGGAATTTGTTGAAAGTACTGTGGCATGGATGAAGCTCCTGATTGTGTGCTTGATTTGGTTGCCGGCGATTTGCCTTGTATCGGGGTTCAATGGGATTCTGAATTCCCTCGAAAACAAATTTATGAAAAATTTATCGATCGATTGATTTGTGCAACACGAACGCTGTTACCCCACGGAAAATACTGTATGTTTTTGGCATTAAATGTTAAATAATCGGCGTTGAAAACAAAACCAAAAAAAAAAAACAACAACCCGGCGCATATGTTCTGAACTTTTACTGCATCTCCTGTTGCTGAACAGGAAAAAAAAGTAGCATGTTGAGGGAGGCACTGGTGGTGTGGTGTGGACGTGTGGTGGTAAAGTTGTGTATGCATGAATCCACCCACTATGATTTCGATCCTGGTGCTGATGAATGTTACGTATATGCATGTGAACTTTTAACAGGATTTTAATAAGATCAGGATGTGCTAGGTATCAATATAGTGCTACGTGTGCAGTGATGCGTGTGTGTCAACATTGTAATAAAAAAAACGGTGGCAGGTTGAGAACTGCTGCAAATGCCAGCTTTCTACGCTGCCGCTTCTTCCCCCGGCGAGATCGGTGCGAAACTAGTCGTGGTCCGTTACAAAATGGCCCGGCGCCCGGCTGGCCCATGTGTGAAACTAAATCATGGGCCGTGCTGGCTGTGCAGGCCGGCCTGGTTATGCTGCTGGGCTTGGAGGCTTGGATTGGTCGCGGACTCTGTTCCTGTCTCTGCTCGTTACATCAGGAGTCGCGGCTCCGCTCCGGCGCTGGGAGGGAGAAAAGCGGCCGGCGAGGTAAGCGATCGAACGGAGATGAAGCCCAACAAGCCGGCGGCAACGGCCGGGAAGATCACGTCTCTCTGCAGTGTTGTTGCCTGCTGCAGCTGCTTCCATCTAATCTCAAATTACTTCATTAATTTATATTCTCTCTGTCTCTAAATATTTGACGCCGTTGATATTTTTAAACATGTTTGACCGTTCATCTTATTGAAAAAAATTTTGTGAATATTATTCAAAGCTTGAGTAGTAGTAGTATATTTAACAATGAATCAAATGATAGAAAAAGAATTAATAATTACTTTTTTTTAATAAAACGAATGATCAAACATGTTTAAAAAAATCAACGGCGTCAAATATTTAGGAACAGAGGGAGTACTAATTTAGTTCATAATTGAGTTTAGTTGCCTAGTTGGTAATTTGGTTTGCACCCGGATTCTCTCTTCTTGGAGGAAAGTGGTGACTTGTACTTTGCATGTTACTTGTTCTTCGCAGAGCTTCTACATGATCACGGCGTTTGCTGTTTTGATAACAGGCATTGTCTGTTTTCTGGAGGACTTCGAATTATTGGTGGCACTAATTGCATACATGGTGCTTAGCTTTATAGGACCATTGAGAAATATGCGATGGGTTTCCCTGATAGTAGTATCAGCAGCAAAATACCATCGGAAAAGATGTCAACCCTAGCCTGAACAAAAGGCTATTTCCACTAAGTGTTACGTTGTGGGTGCCTAAGCAGCTGTCATCCTTGATTTAATTTTCAGCACAGCTAAAATCTAAACTAAACTTTCGATTATACTGTGCTGTACTGTCAGACATAAATAATGTGTTCTGTTCTGTGTTGAATGTCATGGTTGTACGCTTCTATGTTTGTTAGTATGTGTTTAGCTTTACCCTGGGGCTGAATTTGGTGAACCAGTTACTGATGTGAGATTGCAAGAAACAACTCCAGCCAGTCAGCCACTGAAGTTCCTTTTTCCAATGGGCTGTTCTCTCAGCCACTGAACTTTCCCCTCTATGAGCACCATCTCCATTCTCTTTCTGCAGAGGTAGGCTCTTGCTTAACCATCTTTTTGAGTTTTGAGTTTTGATAGATATTAGACGATTGAAAATCACAATAGCTCGAAATCTAGAGGCCAACGTGAAAGTTTCAAATGCACTAAGCATTTCAGTTCGACCAGCAATAGTATTAGTCTCATCTATTTACCGTGTTTTTTACTACTACATTTGTCCTAAAATATAACAACGTTTAGCTGTTAATATAGAAATGCACTATCCACATTGGTAGCTAAAAGCTGTTCTGTTAATGGACAAAGGTCGTAGTAACTAATATCCAAACTCATAGTAGACTACCAAAGCATGAAAAACATCTATTTATGCTAAAAAGTATCATGTCATGCACAACTAATATCTGTAAGCCCCCGGAAAAAGAAAAGGAAACAAGGGCTAGTGTCAAAGGCTCTAATTTGTGAGTAAAAAGCATCCCTGAACTCGTGACAAGAAATTGGAATCACCAATGCTATAAACTTACTGTTAAAACAAAAAAAGAAAAATCTCAACGGTCTGATTGAGTCAGTTATATTGGGACACATCAGTATATATTTGCCTAAAAGCTTTGTTTACGATGGTATGGTATTGATGGGATTCTAGCGTTTGGTACAGCACAGGTAGTACGTTGGTACGCTAGATTGATGGCAACTGCCAATAATCCCCCCGGAGGTAGCGTACACCTCGCTGGTTAGCGTGGAACGGAACATGGATCAACCGGTGTAATAGTGTAACACGTACGTGCGCCCAAAAAAAGTTTAGGACCCAAGGCAAAAGACAGTACAAAGCTAGTACACACCAATGGCTATACCCTCGTACCGTATGTCCCAATGAAAAGATCCAGAGCAACCCAACACAACGAGAGCGAAGAAACCAAGCCAATGAGATTATGAGGAGAGGCCGGGCTCACTGACAGGGAGAAGCAGTTGTGCGATTGGTCCACGCGAATTCACGCCGCTGCGGCCGCTTGCACATCCACGCACTTTGGCCGCTTCTCCTCTACTACTAGTCTACTACCCCCGGTCCCTGCTGCAGCGTGGCGCAGAGCCGATTTGCTGCGCTGTCGCCGAAAGAGTAGAAGCAGCTGGCTACCATCTCTTTCTCTGCCTCAGTTTGAGCAAAGCCTAAAATTCTAACAAGTAGTTAATTGATAGATAGCTTATGAGAATTCAATGATTCTAAAAGTGTTTATCAAAACATGAATAAAAAGTTAAACTGTTTAGAAAAACTTTTGATTTTAAGAGAAATTGTACTAGTTGCCACAAACTCTCCAAACATACCGTACCCTCTAGCCAGAGTGAGCCGGAGTGGGTACTAAACCAAACCAAACCCAACACACGAGAAGAAGAGGAGGAGGTCACCAACCCAACCCACTCTCCTTTCCTCCTATCCATTACCCCCACATTTCTCCCCACCGAGACCACCACAATTTGCCATATGCACCCACACATCTCAATCGATATTAGCCCCAATACATCCATTTGCTGTAGCAACCAACCCAATACAGCTGCAGCCTGCAGCAGCAGCAGTAGTGGCGTAGTGTAGGAGTATAGTAGTAGTGGGAGTGGTAGTACCAGTATTCTTTCGGCTGTGGCTAGCTGCTCGTGTTTGCTATACCAAACCCTGCCAATCAGTTCGTTCTTGCACCTACTGCACTAGCTTTCTCCTCCGATTAAGGCTGGCTCGCCGCGAGTCAGCCAGGCAGGCAGGCAGATCAGTTCGTCAACCACGAGCTAGGTTGATTGGTAGCTAGCAGCTAGCTCCAGCCGGCGAGGAGGAGGAGCAGACATTGATTCGATTCCAAGATCGTATCAGCTTAGCTAGCAGTGGCTAGCTAGCTAGTCATGAGTAGTAGCGGCAAGGAGCAGCGGCGGATGGACCGGTTCATCGTGATCCCCTTCTCCTCCACCTGCCGCAATGGCTCCAGCGTCGACGTCGTCGACGGCGGCAAGAGCGGCAAGAAGCCCCAAGGTTCGTTGTTTGATGTTTGTTCTTCACTTCTGCTCGATCTTGTGGATTGTTTTTTTTTTTTTGCGGGGTGATTTAGGAGTTTGGTGTTAGTGATGCTGTGTGCGTGTCTAGGCGGCGGCGGCGGCGGCGGCGAGGGCGGCGGCGGCGCGGCGGAGAACAAGCCCAAGGGGGAGTCGCTGGTGGCGAGGCTTCTCCGGGGGTTCAAGAACCTGTCCCAGATCTTCGCCGTGTACGAGGACGACGGCGAGGAGGAGGAGGAGGAGGAGCGGGAGATGGTGATCGGCCTCCCCACCGACGTAAAGCACGTGGCGCACATCGGCTGGGACGGCAGCACCAACACCACCACCAGCCTCCGCTCCTGGAACCGCGCCGCGCCGCCGTCCTCCTCCGCCTCCGCCGCGTCCACCTCGTCGGCCTTGCCGGCGCCGGCGCCGCCGCCGCCGCCGTCCCAGCAGCAGCCGCCGCTGCCGGCGTTCTCCATGCGGCAGTTCGAGCTCGCCATGGCGGCGCAGGCCGCCGCCACGGGGACCACCACGGCGAGCTAGCCTGGCTCACGGGGCGTTGTCTCTTCCACCGTCCCCGAGTCTCCCCATGTGTATGTAACTGCGCGTGGGGACGTGGGCGATTTTTTCTTTCTTTCCTCCGATTGTTTTCCCGTTTGTTTCCTTGTGCCGTTGTACGTAGCCAACATTTTCCCGGGGATCCTTTTTGTTCCTTTTCTCCCGTTGCTTTTTGCCAATTCGCGATTGCTTTCTCCTCCTCCTCGTCGTCGCGGTCGCGGCCGTCTCGGTGGTTGCGGTGGCCGGCCGCGCGCGCATGTGAATTTTACGGGATTTTTTGCCCCGTTTCGCTGTACGCGACGCGCAGCCGGTAGTGGGGGTGGTGGTGGCCTGGTCGTCTTAACGCAGCCTCCTCGCTGCGCGTGCGCGACGCAGGGGCGGCACACCAAGCGTGTATTGTACCCGCAGCGTGTGTTGTACCATGTGACGGCCGTAAATGCGTCGCGTTCTACGGTGCGCGACGCGAGATCGATTTTTGCGGTTTACCCTGTTGTTTTATGCGTTTTGGGCGCGGGGGACTAATTAAAGGCTCGGGGGGCTGTTCACGGGTTGGAGTTTCGAGCCCGATCTGACGACGACGACGGCGTCCATGCGTATATGGTCGCGGATTGCGCGTTTCGAGGAGGGGTGCGGGTGTCCTCTTCTCATTCGTCGTGATTGACTCAACTAATTTTGGATCTTCGGTAGGATTCACTCTTGAGCTACTCCCTCCGTCCGATATAGCGACTGTATTAAATGGGATATGAATAGTACTCCCTCTCTTTTATATTGTAAGGTCATTCCCAATCCAAAACACTACTAATAGTTTCTATAAACTCCACATCATAAAAAAAAATTAGTACTAGACACTACTCTTCCAATGCAAGCACCACTATTCCATACTTAGATTTAATGCTACTTATCTCATATGATGCCTTGGATGTTGTGTAGAAACCATGTCTTATGCAAAACATGGTTTCTTTCTCTTTCCTCATTTATTCACTTGCCATATCATTTTTCATCTTAGGTGGCAGCTTATTTAATGTTATGGATACCATCCTAGTCATTGGTTGGGAATGGCCTGAGACTTTCTAGCATTGCCAACATTCATATAGATGTTAATGAATCTAAACGCATATATATTTCTAGATTCGCTAACATCTATATTAATATGGACAATGCTAGAAAGACTTGCATTGTGAAACGGATGAAGTAATACGTATATAGACAAATGTTTCATCTACCAAGAGCAAGTTTAATACTATAGCCCACTGCAGCTGGTTACATATCTGTCATGGTTATGGATACCACATACCTAATAGTAGTTGACTAAATCTCGGCAGGACCCACCACATACCATGTCCTATACGGAAACAACCTACGGATATAGGAGGGAGTTCCGGATAAGGAAAGACAACCAGAGTTCTACATGGAAACGACAAGGACTACTCGGATTATATCCATATTGGTTTCCCTAGTTCTACTCGAACAAGAGGACACCTGTGGGTATAAATACAAGCCCCCCTAGGAGGACAGGGGAGAGGAACCACCATGGAAGACACCCATGACAATCAACATACACCCACCAGAAGCCACAACATACAAGCCTACATACGCCAAGACACGCCGCCGGATATCGACTTCAGGGATAGGCATGGCTATTCCCGTACGGTGTCTCCGGATACCGTCAGAAGATACGAAAGCGCTATCTCTGATCTCGCCGGACACGGATTCGAGGAGGAAGGCTACCTTGTTATCAACTACAAGTCAGACCTTCAGACCGTCATGTCGACAACAGTTAGATAGGCTACCCCATATATTGTATTGGTGTGATTATGGTGAATAAAAAGAAACATCGGCTCCGGCCAACAGGATGTAGGGCTATTACCTGACCGCTCAGGGACCCGAACCTGTATAAAAATCCCTGTCTCCGTCTCTTTTACCTCAGTCTCGCGTATATCCTAGCATCAACGATCCCCATACTGTCCAAATACCGTAGTCGTGACATCAAACGTCGACAATATCTATAGCCCGTTACTCTTCTCTCACTTCCTTTATCTCTTTAAAATATGTTATAGCTGTTTTATAGCTTGTTATTGTATCTGCTCTAATATGCTGTTATATTATGGGACGGAGGAAGTAGCTATAGTGAGATACTTAAGTTTGGGGATTATGTGATTACATTAATTAGGACGAGTTCATTGGTCGCGAGTTGCTACAGTCAACTCCCGATCGATCGGCTTGATTTCTTCCTAAGCAATCGCGTTAATCACAACAGGGTCAATACTCGACACATCAACGTGACTGTTTTATTTTTACTGGTGGATTGATTGATTCGCTCTGGTGATAATGCCTGACAATCCACGGACAAAATCATACTACTAGTAGTAGCAGAAATGTAGTAAGCCGAACATGCTCTTACAGATTTACGGGCTGTTTGGTTTTCAGGGACTTATTTCATCCCTGTCACATCGGATGTTTATACATTAATTTAGAGTATTAAACATTCATTAATTACAAAACTCATTTCATAACATTGGACTAATTCGCGAGACGAATCTTGTAAGTCTAATTACGCCATGATTTTGACAATGTGATGCTACTACATTTGATAATTATAGATTAATTAGGCTTAAAAAATTCATCTCGTGGATTAGCTCTCATTTATAAAATTAGTTTTTTTATTAGTCTATATTTAATACTCTAAATTAGCGTTCAAACATCTGATGTGACATGGGCTAAAAAAATTTTAGCCCCATCTAAACACCCCCTTACTACACCAGTACAAAATCATGTACCTCCGGACTCGCAGTTCTGCACTCACATTCGTTAGCATGTGAAGTCAGTGTCAATGTCTCACCCCTCGTCAAGGACCACGGACACGGCGTTTGTCTAGACAGCAGAATTTGCCTTTATGGTGACAATTACAACGTTCTCCTACCAGACACAGTGTCAAACCTACTAATCCACGGGGCAATATTCTTGACTCCGATCGCTGCTGCAACACATCCAAATACTACTCCCTCCGTCCCATAATATAGCAATTTAGATATCCAGATTCTCTGTACTATGAAATATCCCATCCGATTGTAAATTGTTATATTATGTGATACATGGAGTAGTATCAAACAAGATTATTTACACACTCCAAAACAAGATGCAGCCATTGGTGGTTTTTCTATAAGGTGATGAACTCAGGAGTACTTGTTACATCGTCATCGTGGATCGATCATGTGTTGTTGTGCTCGCCAACTCCTTCCTCTTCGTGTCCTCTTTTGGGTTCACGTGATTTGGACGGCTCAACTAGAACTCGCCGTCTTTATCTTCTTCTTCCTCCTCTTTCCGGCCGGCCGGCCGTGCCAACAGGGAGGGACCAATCAATGGCCAGCATATTACTTCACTTGCTGCTACACGTACCAAATTGGCCAACATGGAGGCCGAAAATGGCTTAATTGGCCGAAAAATGTGGCACTTTACTTGGTGAATTTTGCAGAGGCTGGTTGTCCGTAGGTTGCTGGACAGTGTATTATTACTCTATTAACTGCTACACGTACCAAACAGCTAGCAGCATACTCCTTTGCAAACAATCACTGACAAGCGGGCCCTCACTGACAGTTAGTACTAGTAGTATGTTGTTAAGTACTCCTAGTTAGCAAAGACAATGGTGTTTAATCAGATGAGCCGTCGTTTGCTGTGATACGTCACTCTTGGTCAGGAGGTGTGACCTGTGAGGAGTGATAATGAAAGTGCTGGACGCTAGTATATCTAATACTCCAATCAAGGGGCCGGCAGGGTAGGCAAGAGCAATGGCTTTATGGCTGCACGGATTCAATTCAATCATACTAGTACTACTCATGTTAATGACCATGATGATCCCAACATTTGATCTGATCTGACGAATCGGTTCATGTTGTTGTTTAATTTGCGACATGATCATTATGCTAATCAAGTCATTCATAAACATTACTCTAGTTTGTAATCTAGAACACCTATAGACCACTTTCTAATTTGGAAGAACTCAAGATTCCAAGGTGAGTTATGACATCTATTCATTTTCTATACTTTACATGTATATAGCTACATATTATCATAATCTGAATAACTTCGAAGAAGCCAAAGATTCTTAATATGATCAGGTTATGCCAGGACTAAAATACTCTGCCTCTCTCTTTGACAAGGTGTGTTGTTTTTCCTCCTTGCATTGGGTCCAGCTGAAAGGTAAAATCCCTCCCACTTAAAAACACTAGACTTTTGGGTATAAAAAAAGAGTGGTATCCGGGCTCGCCTCTTCGAGGGGCCTCCGCTCGTGGACAACCTCGCTCTGGGTCGCTGGTTTTTGGAATTCGACACCATCGACCGACATCGATTCATCTCAATTTCGAAGGGAGAGATCGACGATTCCAAGTTCTTTTACCCCACTCAGCATACCTAAGCGCCCACCTAAGATTGGACTCGAGGGTGGGTAAGACCCGGAGTGAGGTTGTCCACGAGCGGAGGCCTCTCGAAGAGGCGAGTCCGGATACCACTCGTTTTTTTAGTACCCCAAAGTCTAGTGTTTTTAAGTGAGAGGAACAGTGTATCCGCCTCAGCTGGGCTAAGGGCTAAAATGGCTAATCAAAACCAGCTCTAGCTGGAAGATTTTGTTTGTTACCATGAGAGTATGAGACATGCATAGTAGGCAACCATGCAGGATCGCAGGCAAGCAAGTCGCGACGGAATTTTTGTCTCTTGCTGAAGCCCCGTTGCGTGCTGCCTGTTCTTGCGTTCTTGGCACGGGCGTTTGTTTGCTACCCCCAAGTTCCTCCTGCAACTCCCCTGTCGATCGGTGTCATCTGCTTTTGCGACGCGCCATAGCACATGGATGCGAGGAGGAAAAGGTGGTGCGTCCATGTGTTTTGTGGGTTAATGTTGATCAGCTCAGCTGCTTGTCTGTTTGACACAACCAAAAAACAAAGGGCAGAGAGAGAGAGAGCGAGAGGAGAGAGAGAACATAATTGTGTGGTTCTTTTTTTTTTCACCTAAACTTCTGCTATTGCGAGTAAGGTGGTGTTTGAATCTCCTGAAGATGAAGATAAATATTAAGTGTTTCACGTAAAACGAGGTGATAATAACATGTGATCAATTGAGTTTTAATTATTACAAACTTGAAAAATTGATTAATATGATATTTTAGAACAACTTTCATATAGAAAGTTTTCACACGAAACACATCGT